AAAAAAAAAACATAAACACAACACAAACATACAAACATAAATACAAGCAAACAAAACACACATACATAAAATACAAACCCAAAAAACATACAAACAAACATACATGACATCAAAGACATACACACAAAAAACATAACACAATGACATACATACATACAAAAAAAATACATACACCCAACAAACATACATACATTCAAATACAACCAACAACATACATTACAAAACAAACATAAAAACATACCAAAAACCACATACACACAAACACACCCACACAAAAAAAAACGCATACAACCAAACAAACAAAAACCCGCACAAAACAAGACACACACAAACACACGCACAAACAAAACATTACACAAAAACACAAACACACAACACAAACAGCAAACCACACAAGAATACACATAGACACACACACAGACACGTAGACACACATGCATTCATACACAGAGACAGTCAAAAGCACACAGCCATATACACAGAGACACAGACATAGACATATACACCACAGGCCCATGTAGACAGAGATACAGACACACGCAGACACACATACACAAAAACACACCAAGGCGCACGCACACACAAACACACGTATACACACAGTCAGGCATATTCACAGACACGTAGACACAGATACGCCCACACAGAGACATATTCACACACAATCCCGCATAAACAAGCACAGTCACGCGCACATGTAGGTATACACACACACACACACTCACACAACAACTTACACAGTTACCGATACACACACTCAAACATACACAAACACACATACATACCACACATGTACATGCCGCACATATATACACATCATATACACATTTTTTGGTTATACATTGATTATGCAAAATGGATTAATAATTACATTTAAGGTAGCATATAGTCACTTGTAAGCATGAATTGAAAAAATTGGCTGTTAAATGAATAGGAACTTTTTGTATTTTTCAGATCAAGTGGAAGCTGGTTCCACAAATGAGCAGTAGAATGTGCTAAACTTGTTTTAAATAAATATATATCCTAGGTTTAGGTAAATGTAATAAATTTAGCCTCTTACTGTTCGTAGGACTAGGTTTGAAGAACTGAGAAAGGTAGTTTGAAGTATTTACTGATACAGTTTTATTAATTAATTTAGCCTTATTAAAGATTAGGCGTTGACACAGTGGCATAAGTCTTAGATGGCTATAGAGATTATTTTTGTCGGTATATTTTCTTTCTGAAATCATGCGTAAAGCACGATTTTGAAGGGGACTTAGTCTTTGAACGGTCATTTTAAGAGAGGAAGAGACAGGAAGAGAGTAAGAGAGAAAGGCTGGCATGGGGAAGGCGTGTGCACGATTATCAGCACTCAAGTGTTGTTGAACTCTAGTGCTGATGGGAGATTGTTGATAGGGTGGTAAGGGCAGGGCTGGTGTGCACAAGTATCAGAGCTCTCGTGCTATTGACTGTTTCTAGTATACAGACAGAATAGTAGAAAAATAGCACAGACACTAAAGAGATGTATGGTAGCAGACCCCGAAGCAAATCCAAGAAGAAAGTGAAGACCTACAAACACACGGAGTCACTAACTGGAGATCTAAAATAAATTACAGAGACGAATATTATCTGCAGCAATTCACAAAAATTGTTCAATCGAGAACACAGAATCTGATGACGAATGGATACAAGTGCCAGTAGAGTTGGATATACCATTTTCAGTCTTCATAAAACTGGGTGGAGATTGCAAAGAAGGCCCGTTGGTGGTTGAGGCAAAAGTGCAAGCCTTAATTCTGGAAAGTTATGCTGATGGAGGTGCAGTTGTCTACACTGACGAATACGTCATTCGACACGTAAAAAGTTCACTGGCTTTCACGTCTCTGGTTCAAGTGAAAACTGTAAAAGAAGAAAGCGGGGATTTTGCCTCAACTACAATTAGTTTCACCGGCATGTTCTTTTCTAAATGGACAACAGCACAGCAAATATAGCAGAGTGGTCTTTCTGACTGATGTTATGTCAGTTCTACAAGCAATTGTTAACCCAAAAGACACGCAGTTTGTAGACTTGACGCAACAGCTTATTTACTTAGGCTCTTCAGTAGAACAATCTGTACTGCAGTGGATTCCAGGTCACTGTGGCTTGGAAGGCAATGACATAGCGGACAGATTAGCCAGAAGCAGAAGTGACATGGTACAACCAAATAGCGACTTAACCCACCAAGAGACGAAAATATTAATACAATCTAGTATCCAAGAAAGGTGTCTGGATACCCACACCAGATTTCCTCCCCAAGACTCGCTTCATCGCCTCTCTAGAGAGGGACGGTGTATTATATTCAGACTAAGGACTGGGCACAACCGATTTCGTCAATATATGTTTAAATTTGTCGGTGTAGGAAACACGGAGACGTGTCCCTGCAGCGTGGCACCCGAAAATGCTGAGCATGTGCTCCAACACTGTCACCTGTATGCTGACAACAGAGACGCAATCTGGCCTGTCCCAACCAATATGAAGACAAAAATGTATGGCACACGAGAAGATATGGATTGCACGATAGCTTTCATAAAGGCTACCGGCCTCCTGATATGTTTTCTGACAGAAGGATCGACGAAGAAGAAGACTATAGAGGTGATGGCGGTAACAAAGCAATGATGTGGCTAGAGACACAGCAGTTTTCCCAATTGTGCGTTCTAAGTGATTCCATGACATGCTTAAGAAGATGGAGACAGGATGGATTCGAAGATGAAATCTCGTCTAAAAGGAATTTTAAAAAAAATTTGGGGGTGGGGGGAGAGGGGGGATTGACGATGAGGACACTGTGTTAAAAGGGAATGAACAAGCGGATTGGCTTGCTGGCAGGGCCACGGTTAAGTGCAGGAACATTACTGGACCGAGCCGACATTTTTAATGCTCTCAAAGAGGCACGACGAGAAGATGATTTAGGAGACTACCTTGTTCGTCAACACTCAAAAGACTACAAGAACTTCAGGTCAAAAGAGGTGTCGCCAAACATGACACTATACAGGTAGCCAAAGAAGAATAGTAAACCTACATAGAACTGGTCTTATCAGTCGCTATACGCTGGGGGATATACTGAAGATGGGATCCGACTTATCCGATGTGTAGTTAGCATAATCTTTCTATCAACTAAATAACTATAACTATATGCAGCAGTGAACCTAAGGACCTCGAAATGTTATAGACGAAGAAGAATGCCAAGAATTTATAACACACAAGTTGAGGCAGACCTTGTCATGCACGGTGCTGAGTTAGAGTTGAACATGTGAACGTTAAAACCTCAATGGGCTTATTGATGGCGAAAATAAATTAACCTTTATGAGGGAAATCCTACATTGAAGAAAGCAAGCAGAAGGCAATGCTCGAAAACTTCCTTTTGTCACTTCGATTTTATTCTAATATTAAACTTGACGAAGAGATGTATCCCATCTACGATTCTAAAGACAGAAATGATTGGTGAGTAATACATGTGTAACATTTACCACATACTGAACTCCTCATGGCGCCTGTAATTTACCAAAGTACAGTTTTAATTTGTAAAAGCAGTTAGCTACATATTCGTTTCAGGACAGTGCAAGCTAACTTCAGCATTTGTTGATTTTTTTTTTTTTTCCTTTTGGTGGTTTCATTAAACAATTTATCGTTCTGCAGTTAGCCAATGCTTTCTGAACCGTTTGATGCCCTACCATGCCGAAATCACTACAGAGCAGATCATTGCTAAATATTTTGCAACCGAAATTAACCACGTACTCGGAATAGTGAAACTGCATTCATAAACACTGAGGTACAGTCGTCGGTCGACAGTTGTAGATTCAAAACCCGCTTTTCCCTGTCTGTCTCTTCCAGTTAGGTCATTAGCCAAATGAGAGATCCCGTTATGGTCAGCGAACTTTGGAAATTTCCCCAGGCTATGCCGGTGTGTTGGGAAATAAACAGGCCGTTAGACTGGCTGGTTCTGCAACACTTTGTAATACACTGAGGCATGACAAGCTAGATGTTGTAACAGTCCTTGGTAGCCAGTAAACAGTGCTGAGGCACACATTTATCATCACGGTCTGAAGAGAATGGTCATCGGTGAGTGACCAGGGAACTTGGCCGACGCCCAACACTCAGGGTAGGGGCGGCACGGAGATACAGTCTGTTACTTGTACCGTCGGAATTGAAACTGCGTTTGTTGCTGACAATAGAGACGGGCGCTTATGGGAATGTCTGGAGAGTTATAATGTCGTTGTTAACTCATAACATCACGTACACTGTTAACCCTTTTCATGTGAAGTAGGATTTTGTAGCCTAATTTGTCTACAGACTGAGATAGTCAGTGTCACGCCAACATCTCTTAGTCGTCTGCGTTTATGGTAGGTTATTCATCATAATAGATACTATGACATATATGGTAGCTCATCCATCATCATCCTGTTGTGCCATTTATATATCGCAGTGAGTTCGCAACGATTTTGTGAATTTACGTTTAAAGTCCTCCGAGGGCTCAGGGGTCCCCAACCAAATGAGACCTGATGAAAAATTACAGCGTCACTATTCTTGTCCTCTTTTGCGAAAAATTCGACTTATGAGGAAGACATCAAGCTGCCTTAAAAAAAGTTACTTGTTACTTTTTCCGCATCGACATCCTAGCGCATCGGTCCTACCCATGAGTGCTCAGTCCTCCTATGCAGCAGCCACCTCTGTGTCGCTATGATCAACGTACCCAGTAGGTGCTGACTGGCACAGCTTCTTTCATTACCTCGCAACCGGTTTCTGCATGCTTGTCCTTATTTCAGTACCCCTTTCCAACAAGACGGTTCATCGTCTCTGACTTCTTTGTCGCAAAGTCTTTTGAGATAGGCCAATGCTTCTTGTCCCCCGAAAAAGAAAGCTGTTATTGAAGGGCAGTGTGGAAATACCATACTGAATTATGATCGAATGGTAATGGGGAAAATGTTTGAAGCAGCTGGTAATTTTGTTTGAGAAAATGACTGACACAAAACAACTGCATATTATTTTAGATGGCTCAAAAAGCAAGATGCTACACACTGATACGGATTGCTATCTGGCTGGTACCAGTGGTCCTGGGCGCCATACACTATCCTGATGTCAGTAAGTTATTCACCGAACTATTAGACTGAAATGTCTGGCTGCGGCTAGTCAGTGGCCAGGCGTACATGTAACGGCTGTAACCGCCGCTTACACTTTCCAATGAAAAAAAAAAAAAAAAAAGGGAAAAAACTGTACTCTTTTATTGATATTATTAATGTTTACTAATAATGAGAAATACGGCACTTGGGTTGCGCCTCAAGAATAGCAAAAAATAACGCTCGCTGCATGCTTACATCACTTAAGCAGAAACTACAACGTGTGAAAGCTATCAATCACTTTGTCTATAATGCTAGCTGCACAGGCATACACTTAACAGCAAAGCGACAAGGAGAAAATATCACGTGAAACAATATCCAGTGTAATCGTTACCTGATAACGTTGACACAAGCGAACGGATTCACTCCTCACCACTGCTGCTATCTGTTTTCATGCAACAGGCTCTGTTTAGAAAGTCGCTCTTATCACATACCGCCTATAAGAACCTCAGTCCCTAGCCAGGTTCTTCACCAGTACTAGGAAATCAAGGCGGCCGGCGGGATATTCACCGCATCACCCACAGAGTGCCCATTGGTCTATAAAATATAGGTCAAGCACGATATGTCCAACACGTCTGAAGGTGTGGAAAAGGGGTCCTTTACTTTACTTATTTACCTTCTCATGAACCTAACTACATGCCAGTCCACTACCTGTATACCTACGTACACATCTACCTGTCTACTCACCTACCTGTCTAGCAGTTTTTCTTTCCGTCTATCTGTCCATCTATCCAGCCCTATATGCCCTACAATTCTGAAGGCGTGGAAAAGGGTCCTGTACTTTACTTGCCTGCCTACCCGCCTGTCTACCAACCTACACATCTACCTGTCTATTTACCCACCTACCTAGGTGTTTTTCTCTCTCTTAATCTTTCCATCTATCCGTCTGTCTATATATGCATATATATATATATATATATATATATATATATATATATATATATATATATATATATATATATATATATATATATATACATACACATATTCTGTTTATCTTTTCTCCAAGTCTCTTTGCCTGCCTGTGTGCATACCCCTCTGCCTGTCTGTCTGTCTGTCTGTCTGTCTGTCTGTCTACCCTCTCATTAACCGAACTAAAGATTCACTCAAGATTATGACTGTAATGGACATGGAACAAAGGATGCTGTTCACAATGATCCAGCACTTGATCCTCTCGGTGATAGACTATGGACTATAACGCATACACTACGAAGCTTTGCGGGTGATTCTATAAGAGGTACCCCAGCAGTGTGTATGAGATACACATCTGCACTGCTGAATATTATACAGAAACATTTAAAAGTGCTGCTAAATAAAGTCATGTCTCAGAGTAGCCGTAGACAAGAAACACTGCATAAAGCCCTTACACAGAGTTTGAAAAGAAGAGGACATTTCTCACCAGCTGAAGACTCAATTAGTCATGTTAAGTCATGTGTGCTTCCTTGTTTATACTGGACGAGCAGGAGAGGGTCAAAGTGTCGTCCGAGCAACAATCAGACTTGTGAAGGCTTCTAATCACACACTGAACCGTAATGCAAAGACTGGCCAGCTGCAGAATCAGAAGCTTAACAAACGATTTATGCAATTCCCCCCCCCCCCCCCCCCCCCCCCCCCCCCCCAGGTGATGTGATTATCTCTAAGCATCTGGTAAGAAGCAATAATGCATGGGGTTCATAGCAAAAGCGAATGGACGTCGCTTAGTGCAGTACAACCTAGCATATGATACCACAACTCCTAGTTTGCGAATGGAGGTAGACAAAGAAGTCATAACGGCCTTTCAGTGGCTTTGTTTGTGTGTTACGTAGCATATTAAGAAAGGTTAATATATGTATGCTCTGTGCATCGCTTCGAAGGTCTCAGGTAGTAAGCATTCCTTGAATATTTTCTGCAAGATATAACGGTGTGTTGGAAAACGAATATGCAGCCTGATTAGCTGGTTCTGTACTTCTTTGTGGTAAATTGATGCATGGCAAGATAGATGTTGTGAGGGTCCGTTGGGAGCCATAACACAGCGCAAAGGCACAGACGGATCAAAGCGATCTAAAAAGAATGGTGCAACTGCCAGGGACCAGGTGTTATGACCGCCACTCAACATTTAGGGGAAGGGCGAGACAGACATACAATCAGTCTGCAACTGCTACCATCGCGATTGGAACTGCACTGGCTGCTGAAGGTAGTGACGAGGTGCTTATATGAATGTATTGAGTGCTATGACGTCTGTTCTCAACTCGCCTCATCTAACATTACCTCATAAACCTACCAGCCTGACTTCATACTCGTGTATCTACTGTCTGTCTCTGTATTTACGTACATGTCTGCATCCACATCCTCCATTCATCATGTGTGTGTGTGTGTGTGTGTGTGTTTACGTACATGTCTGCATCCACATCCTCCACCCATCATGTGTGTGTGTGTGTACGTACATGTCTGCATCCACATCCTCCACCCATCATGTCTGTGTGTGTGTGTGTTTACGTACATGTCTGCATCCACATCCTCTACCCATCATGTCTGTGTGTGTGTGTGTTTACGTACATGTCTGCATCCACATCCTCCTCCATCCATCATGTGTGTGTGTGTGTTTACGTACATGTCTGCATCCACATCCTCCATCCATCATGTGTGTGTGTGTTTACGTACATGTCTGCATCCACATCCTCCATCCATCATGTGTGTGTGTGTGTGTTTACGTACATGTCTGCATCCACATCCTCCACCCATCATGTCTGTGTGTGTGTGTGTTTACGTACATGTCTACATCCACATCCTCCACCCATCATGTCTGTGTGTGTGTGTGTTTACGTACATGTCTGCATCCACATCCTCCATCTATCATGTGTGTGTGTGTGTTTACGTACATGTCTGCATCCACATCCTTCATCCATCATGTGTGTGTGTGTGTTTACGTACATGTCTGCATCCACATCCGCCACCCATCATGTCTGTGTGTGTGTGTGTTTACGTACATGTCTGCATCCACATCCTCCATCCAGCATGTGTGTGTATGTTTACGTGCATGTCTACATCCACATCCTCCACCCATCGTGTGTGTATGTTTACGTGCATGTCTGCATCCACATCCTCCACCCATCATGTGTTTGTGTGTTTACGTGCATGTCTGCATCCACATCCTCCATCCATCATGTGTGTGTGTGTGTGTGTGTGTGTGTGTGTGTGTGTTTACGTACATGTCTGCATCCACATCCTCCATCTATCATGTGTGTGTGTGTGTTTACGTACATGTCTGCATCCACATCCTCCATCCATCATGTGTGTGTGTGTGTTTACGTACATGTCTGCATCCACATCCTCCATCTATCATGTGTGTGTGTGTTTACGTACATGTCTGCATCCACATCCTCCACCCATCATGTCTGTGTGTGTGTGTGTTTACGTACATGTCTGCATCCACATCCTCCACCCATCATGTCTGTGTGTGTGTGTGTTTACGTACATGTCTGCATTCACATCCTCCATCCATCATGTGTGTGTGTGTGTTTACGTACATGTCTGCATCCACATCCTCCATCCATCATGTGTGTGTTTACGTACATGTCTGCATCCACATCCTCCATCCATCATGTGTGTGAGTGTGTTTACGTACATGTCTGCATCCACATCCTCCATCTATCATGTGTGTGTGTGTGTGTTTACGTACATGTCTGCATCCACATCCTCCATCCATCATGTGTGTGAGTGTGTTTACGTACATGTCTGCATCCACATCCTCCATCTATCATGTGTGTGTGTGTGTTTACGTACATGTCTGCATCCACATCCTCCATCCATCATGTGTGTGAGTGTGTTTACGTACATGTCTGCATCCACATCCTCCACCCATCATGTGTGTGAGTGTGTTTACGTACATGTCTGCATCCACATCCTCCATCTATCATGTGTGTGTGTGTGTTTACGTACATGTCTGCATCCACATCCTCCACCCATCATGTGTGTGTGTGTTTACGTACTTGTCTGCATCCATCTCCTTTATCCATCATGTGTGTGTGTGTGTGTGTTTACGTACATGTCTGCATCCACATCCTCCATCTATCATGTGTGTGAGTGTGTTTACGTACATGTCTGCATCCACATCCTCCATCCATCATGTGTGTGAGTGTGTTTACGTACATGTCTGCATCCACATCCTCCACCCATCATGTGTGTGTTTACGTACATGTCTGCATCCACATCCTCCACCCATCGTGTGTGTGTATTTACGTACATGTCTGCATCCATCTCCTTTATCCATCATGTGTGTGTGTGTGTTTACGTACATGTCTGCATCCACATCCTCCACCCATCATGTGTGTGTGTGTTTACGTATATGTCTGCATCCATCTCCTTTATCCATCATGTGTGTGTGTGTGTTTACGTGCATGTCTGCATCCATCTCCTTTATCCATTATGTGTGTGTGTTTACGTGTATGTCTGCATCCATCTCCTTTATCCATCATGTGTGTGTGTGTGTGTGTGTGTGTTTACGTACATGTCTCTGCCCATGTTAATCAAGTAAATTGTGGTTATCTCCGGCCAAATTATGTTTACTTCTGATAGACTGGGTGGCCTTTTTCTTATCATAAATTAAATTATTACACGTGTCTGCCCAAACAGTTCACGGGGACAATCCATGCAACAACACTAGAAATATATCAAAAGAAGCGATATTCACGTACGTGAAACCAATAACCGTTGAAAACGAAGTGTGCGTGACGACGTTTGCGACAAACAGTTATACAATGCTGACAGTCCAATTTCTCATGTACTACACCGACACATATCAGAACAACGAAGAAGGTAACTGTACTGTCTGGTCAGTTCAGCTCTACAACTCTAGGGGACTACCTGTTCTGGGTAAGTCGAGATGTTTAAATGCTAGTTGTGTAGTTAATGTCACTGAACAAATTAGGAAGAATTTGAAGCAACAGAGATTCTTAGACGAATGTTACGAATACCTTGGACGGCTGGAGTAACTAACAACGATTGCTTGAAAGAATCTAATGAAACTAAAAGCTTCTTCGCTTTTAGCACCCCAGTGTCATTCTTCTCCTCGGACCTTTTTTGTTGTCACTACATAAACGAATAGCTGGGGAAGAACGGACGCCATAGACACGTTATGATAAACAAATTAACTTCTACTAGTACTGACCATAGGCCGCCCATTCCGTAGCGATTGCACTAGCTATGGAGGTCTCAAATCCTCAAACTCAAAGACCCCCACGGCACTCTTCTTTCTTTTGTCGTCTTGTTGAAACTAGGTTGTAGCTCGTGTCGTGGTTTGCTTTCACTGTCTTGCGCCTCTCTGGTGGCAAGATCACCACCGGCTTGAGTGATAGATCTTCAGCTACACCATTTATTTAAATGTTTCTTAGTCTCTCCCCCCCCCCCCCCAGATGTTCTTCTGTAAAAACAAATCTCTTACGCAGTTTGGTCTGGCTACATTCTTATTAGATGGCCAAACCATTTAGTTCTGTGTTTGTCAATATAATGCAGGTACGGTATGATTCCAACTTTCTCTTTAATGCTGGTATTCCTAACTGCCCCTTTCTGTGCTGTTACTGACTTTACACAGCGCATTTCACAGACGTTATTTTCTGTACCAGAGACGGCCTGTCCTGCACTACAAAAGTAGTTCTTCTTTCGTTCGCCTTATACACATCATCTACATCTCAGGTCATGATTCTCTCTTAGTGTGTTTTTAAGGCTCCATGCTAATGGTTCCTCCTCTCCTTCCAGGGTTGAGCAGACTGGCATCTTCACGACTGAAGGTTTTTATAATGTATGAGGGCCAATGCTAACAGTCTGTCCATTTCCAAGTCCAGTGGGTTGCAGGTTCCTGTCTGACAGGGTCCATAAGATTAGTTCCTCTTTCTTTAAGTGTCAGCGACTAAAGGTTGCGCAAATGGTTTCTTACCCACAATTACTACTGAAATGCTAGAATGTGTGGATAGTGTTTTCTACCCACTAACTGATTATATAAGGTTCTTATATGCTCAGACTTGTTTACTATCTATGTTCTCAATATAGGTTTTACTAATTACGTCTCGATTGCATTATCTAGTTTTACACCTAAATACACTAAATATGTTAATATGTTCTATAGCCTTCTAGAAAACGAGTACTACTGAGTTCTTTTTTGATAGGGCACGTCAACATAATTACTCTGAGTATTATTTATATAACTATTTATTAGGTTACTGGTTTGCACAATATCCTTCTGTTAATAAACAAGTAATGGTTCTTGAAAGGAAATGTCAAGGTTGCTAAGACTTGTTGATTTACAATCTATTCTAACTGCGCAATATCCATCTCCTAGCAAACAAGTGAGGGTTCTAGAAACAACTGTGTTACAGTTATCATATCAGACTGTGGGTCTAGTACCATGAGTACATTAGTATTAGTATTGCGTCCCAATGTCGGACGCAGTTTTGCTGTTGTTGTTGTTGTTGTTGTTGTTTTAAAGCCCCTCTGGCTGTTGTCCCAGACCCTAATATAACCCAACCTATGGGATCAACTGGGTTTCTAGGACCTGTCCCGGGGTAATCGTCATCTGAATGATGACACTTTGTGTCATCGGGTGTTTATCGCTCGGTGTGATGTCCTGGTGGGGTTGAATGTCAGTCACTACGTGCACAGTGCATAAGTCACGTGATACCAGTCTTTGATTGGTCTTATGAGATAAAAATAACAATTTCTTTTAATTATCTGCCTCTCTAAGCACTGCTTACAAAGCGCCTCCCCCCCCACCCCCACCCCCACCCCCCCACCCCGAGTGGGTTCCAAGCAACATTTTGTTTCGGAGAGGGACATGGGATAGACACCCTGCCTCCTGACACATGTCGTAACAGGCGACTAATTAATGATTTTCTGAAATTGGGCGTTCTGAGGAGAAAGGCGCAAAAATCGCAACCCAGTTGTAGACCACAACACAAAGTGCCGACAGCTCGAGCGTGGGAGAAAAAAAAAATAAAAAGAAAAAAAAAGATGGTGGAGGAGGAGGAGGAGAATAGTAATAATAATAATATAATAATAATAATAATAATAATAATAATAATAATAATAATAAGAAGAAGAAGAAGAAGAAGAAGAAGAAGAAGAAGAAGAAGTAGAAGAAGAAGAAGAAGAAGAAGAAGAAAAAGGAAAAGAAGAATAAGAAGAAGATGATGATGTTGATGATGATTATGATTATGATGACAAAGAGGAAGAAGAAGGATGCATTATCAGTGATTCCTCTCTAAATCCTCTGTTATTTATGAATGATGTTCGAACACGCTGATACAGGCCCTGGCTCCAAATACTGCAGTTCAAAGAAACCAAAAGGTGTGTTCGTCCTTGGGAGAACAGCTACATTTGTTCGTGAGGTTAAAACCAAACGTTACCTGTGGTTGAACCCAGTGACGGTGAATATCCTGCTGACAGAAGTCAACTACAAAAATGGTAAGTACCTTAGTAAGTTGTTGTGCCTTTTAACGGTTAGTTGATTACCCTGCCACAATAAGTTTCTTTCCGTGTTAGCTCTTGGGTCCTGTTTTAGGAAACAAATAATAGATCCACTGCCTCTATAAAAGACGTGTCGCAAAAGTCGACTAATGAGGAATTTCCTTCGAAATGGATCTGCCTAAGAGGCAAGGAACCAACAGTCTGCCAACAAATAAGTTTACTGACCTGTAAAACGGATGTGCACGCAAAACTCAAATTTTAAAGCAAGACTTGAGTCTAGAAGTGCATGAACAACACGAACCTTCCGCTGAGTTTACTGCAGGTGAAGCAAAGACGAAGAAGAAGAAGATGATCATGATGATGAAAAAATGAGAGAAAGAAGAGGAAGAAGAAGAACAAGAAGAACAAGTAGAAGACGTTTGTTGCCAGACGATGATGTCACTGATCTTTATCAGGGTTACCCTTATAATAAAAGACACTCTAAAGTAATATATTGTTGTGATAGCGGCTCGTATTGGTCTAGGCGGTACTCCACAGCTCCACCAACCATCCTAAAGAAATTCATGGGAATGACTTGGCCAGACTTCCTCACCACTTAATAGCCCCCAGACTGGATGGGATCACCACACCAGTCAAACAAACGCAGTAGCAACAGGAATCTGATCTAATAACAATGCACACAGAAACCTAACTAAAAGGGAACTGTGAAATACCAGACCAACAACAGTAGGTTCTATATAACAAAGCATGATGTAATAAGTTCCAACATATATATAAGAAATCTCAATAATTGATATAGAAGAGAGAACACTAGCATAGTAGGACATAAACAATGTCCAATGACTACAGGCTTGACTTAGTTCACTGATGGGTTTCCATCACTGCACTGATGATGTATTAAGGCAATAGTAAGCTCATGGTATGAATTGACCGGTTGGCTGTACTTCGGGTCTCAGGTACTTATCATCAGAGTGCAGAGAATGGTCGCAAAGCTCCTCTCCTCAGTCCAAGTCGATTCCTGCTGTATAATTCCAACTGGCATAGTTATGCACATAATTATGATAAATCACTGCCCAATATTACAGAGTCGTTGTTCCTAGCATATATATATATATATATATATATATATATATTATATATATATATATATATATATATATATATATATATATATATATATATGCGATATATTCACACAGTTAATAACCCAAGGTTTTAGGAAATATTCAAGGTAGGCTGGTGGCGATCGCCAGTGGCCAAACTCTAGGCCTGATAAACCGGATAATGCTGGGATAGCTCTAGCTGTCGTCTAAGGCGTATGACCCATGTCACTTCTCATAGTTGTTAAGATAACTGGCAAGAAAGAAAGTGGGGTACCTGGTAACTAATATTAAGGGATGGTGGATTGTGTTGATGGCTTTTGCTGGTGGATCTCTCACTTTGACCCTGACACAGGTCCCAGTTAAATCAGCAGGTTCACTGGATCATAGCTCATATACCCTAAGGATATAGTACAATAAAAACCTGTGTTAACCAACGATCGAATACTAGGCCTTGAAGGCCTAGGCTATTTCTCCCAACAACCAAACATAGACAAAAAGGAACTGCAGCTCCCAAGCTGGTAGTACCAAAATCTTCCATCGCCCGGACCAAGGCGTGAAACGAATAATCAGCTATCCAGGTCAACCCAAGACCTGAATGTACCATATTTCTTTCCCCAAATATAAACTGTACATGAATAAAGTGATATTAAGAATGATACAGTATTCCAGGTGGGTTTGTCAGTCCCTGTACGAATATGTGGGAACATATTCCCTCTGAATAAAGATAACACTCTCCAGTTTGGTTACAGCTGCGATCTGAGTCCAGTGAATGCGGTGTACAGCCAGTATTCCATAGATACACCCGTCTAGACGATGCAGCAGGGAAATATGACTTCATTCAGCTATTTAAAGTACAACTTACCCATGCTCTCTTAAAGTTCCCGTGCGAAACGATGACTTGCAAATAAGATATAAATGTAAGTGAAGGCGTTAGAAGGTATGCTGACTACGATTTCTGCTCTCTAATGACGCTACAGATTCAAACTTTGGCGGGCTAGAAGCGGAAAGGATTCCTTCCGCGCAACAAAGCAGTAGTTTGTCTTGGAAACAGGCTTCACTACTCTTACAAATCACTTACCTGTGAGTGAATTCATAGTGTCACTCACTCCCAAAATATTTATGAGTGAACATGGTTCCTTTACCTACATCATGACCAAAGAAGGACTATATAATTATGGAAGAATAGTCCATATTTGAAAACAGATCATTTGCATAGGGGTGTACAGAATGGGGACGGGCCAAACGCAGAGGGATGTTCTGACTGGTTATGTGACAACGTTGCAGAAACAACTCCAGCCTTTGCTGGCTTTTAGTGCTTTTACTAGTCAATATTATTTTTAGTAGCTTACCGTTGCGGTCGGCCCCACCTAAAACCGTAGAAATCAACGTAACTGATTGTGTTGTTGCTATTTCTTCCTTTTTCTTTTTCTTCCTGCTCTTTCTTCTTCCTTCTGCTTCTCCCTGTTGTTAATTTCTGCTTCTTTCTTTTGCTTCTTCTTCCTGTTTCCTGCTTCTTTCTGCTTCTTCTTCCTGTTATTTCATTTTGCAATTTCTTTCTTATGCTTCTTTTTAGTGTTTCTTTTTGCTGCTTCTTTCTGAAGTTTCTCTCTGTTTCTTATTCCTGCTGCATCTTCTTGTTGCTACTTCTTTCTGCTTCTTTTTTCTGCTGCTTCTTACTCTTCCTTCCTGTTTCTTCTTCTCGATGCTTCTTCTTGTTGCTTCTTTCTGCTGCTTCTCGCTGCTGCTGCTTCTTCCTGCTGCTTCGTATTGCTGTTTCTTTCTTTTGGCATTTTTTTTTGCTGCGTCGTATTGCTGCTTCTTCTTCCTGCTGCTGCTTCTTCCTGTCGTTTCTTCCAGCTGCTGTTTATTTCTGCTTCTTCTTTCTACAGATGCTTCTTCCTGCTGCTTCTTCCTGTTGATGCAGCTTCTTCCTTCTACTTCTTTTTTTACTGCTTCTCTTCTTCTCCCTGCTGTGTTCTTCTTTCTGCCGGTTCTTTTTGTTGATGCTTCTTACTGTTGATGCTTCTTCCTGCTGCTTCTTATTCCTGCTGTTTCTTTATGTTGATGCTTCTTATTCCTGCTGCTTCTTTCTGTTGATGCTTCGTTCTGCTGTTTCTCTCTGTTAATGCTTCTTTCTGTTGATGTTTCTTTCTGTTGATGCTTCTTTCTGTTGATGTTTCTTTCTGTTAATGCTTCTTCTTCGTGCTGCTTCTTTCTGATACTTGTTTCTGCTAGTGCTTTTTTTCCTTCTGCGTCTTCTTCCTGCTACTTTTTTCTGCTTTTTTTTTTCTTATGCTACTACTTCTTCCTGCAGCTTTTCCCTGCTGCTTCATAATTCAGCTGCTTCTTCTTTCTGCCGCCTTTTCCGCTTCTTTGTTCTGCTGTTTCTTTCTTCTGCTTTATTTTCCTGCTGCTTCTTCCTGTCGCTTCCTTCTGCTTCTTTTTTTTTCTGTTTATTTTTTCTGTCACTTCTAACTGCCTTCTTCTTCTTCTTCTTCTTCTTCTTCTTCTTCTTCTTCTTCTTCTTCTTCTTCTTCTTCTTCTTCTTCTTCTTCTTCTTCTTCTTCTTCTTCTTCTTCTTCTTCTTCTCTTCTTCTTTCTTCTTCTTCTTCTTCTTCTTCTTTCTTCTTCTTCTTCTTCTTCTTCTTCTTCTTCTTCTTTCTTCTTCTTCTTCTTCTTCTTCTTCTTCTTCTTCTTCTTCTTCTCTTCTTCTTCTTCTTCTTCTTCTTCTTCTTTCTTTCTTCTTCTTCTTCTTCTTCTTTTCTTCTTCTTCTTCTTCTTCTTCTTCTTCTTTCTTCTTCTTCTTCTTCTTCTTTTCTTCTTCTTCTTCTTCTTCTTCTTCTTCTTCTTCTTCTTCTTCTTCTTCTTCTTCTTCTCTTCTTCTTCTTTCTTCTTCTTCTTCTTCTTCTTCTTCTTCTTCTTCTTTTTTTCTTCTTTTCTTCTTCTTTTTTCTTCTTCTTCTTTTTCTTCTTCTTCTTCTCTTCTTCTTCTTCTTCTTCTTCTTCTTCTTCTTCTCTTCTTCTTCTTCTTCTTCTTCTTCTTCTTCTTCTTCTTCCTTCTATTTCTTCTTCTTCTTTCTTCTTCTTCTTCTTCTTCTTCTTCTTCTTCTTCTTCTGCTCCTTCTCCTTCGTCTTCCTCTTTTTCGTCACGCATACACGTTTTTCTAACTTTTGAACAGAGTCGTGCATTTATGGATATATAGACTGCAAAAACAACTACTGCATTCACCGAGATCTTGTGTGCAACAAATACGACAACTGTGGCAACAACAGTGACGAACTAGAAGAGAACAATATGTGCCAGCCCGTGTATAAAGTTGTTGTTAAAGTCATTTTGGCTTGCATTGTTGCAGTTCTGTTTGTGAGTCTGATAATCTTTCTGCTGTGTCGGACAAAGATTATTAAATGATACCCATTATTTTTCACACAAATAAAACGGTTATAGTCATAGCCTCTGCTTTGTTGATTCTAACTTTCTTGTTATATTCCTCTCACACATGATTCAATCCATGATTATTGTGCTGCAAGTCTGCGTCTGTGACATATTCGTTGCGAAAGCAGTATGTAATTCTGAGATATCCGCTTTAACCCCAGCTGCGAGAGACTAGCCAGCTGACTGAGTTGCGTTGAATGTTCAGAAAGCAACGGCAAACTTTGTTAGTTACGCAGCCTTTACATGAGTTTCTGGCTGTTGTGGTTTTTCTAGACAAATTATCGGTAAGCAGTTCACACTGCTTTCTGCTGCCAAATCGCCTGCAGCTGGGATCGAACCCGGCGCCTGTGCATTACGAAACGCGCTCGTAGAGCCCAAGCCACATACGCTAACAATGGCAAACTAATGAACGTAAAATAAAATATTTAAAAGCAGGGGGGGGGGGGGGGGGGGAATGCTGAGGCCGGGTTTGCAACTTGCTCTAACTACATAGGATACGCAACTAACTTTCATAGCTCTGAATTTTTTTTTTTCTATGCGGCAGTTACCGCCTGGACGATTGCTAACAGCAGTTCTTTGGGGATGATGTTTTACATTGGTTCTTCTTAAGGGGTAAGTGCTAGCATAGAATCTTCAAAATTCGAAAATAGCATTTTGAAACAAATCTGGTATCAAAGATTAACCGATATCCTACTCGTTACTGTTTAAATCTTTTGAACTGGATAAGTAGTATCCGAGTAATGATGGCTCAAAGGTGGTCTGGTCTTGAAAGCGGAAAAACAATTAATTTGGAGATAAGTGTTTTCACATGAGTGCCTCCCAAAAGTTTTCTTACAATGAATGGTTCTGCAATGTGGAACAATCAAAATGGCTGCCTTCGGGAAGCATATCGACATTTTGAAAATGTTTGTATTAGTGATCTTCAAAACATTGTCAAATGATTATACATTACTTGTAAGCATTCAGGGGAGGAAAGTTTCACGAGAATAGGGTTACGAGAAAAAAAAAATTACGTCGTTTGTCCAATTTTACAATAGTTATTACCAATTCCTTCATTGCGTTCTCAACGTTTAACCATCATCATCTCATCATCATCATCTGGTAACAGTACTTGTCGTTGGGTCACCAGTTTCTGTTGACTGATCAGTTCTTTCCACCATTGGCGGTCAGTTGCTATGGACTTCATGGTTGAATGCCTAAGGCCTGTCAAGTCAGTCAGGTTCTGTAACCAGGTCTTTCTTGGTCTACCTCTTCTCTTCTTTCCCTCTAATGAGCCCTGCAAAATTATTTTTGAGAGGTTGTTAGATCTTATTTCATGTCCTTAACATTCCATTTTTCGCCTTTTCACTGTAGTTGAAAGAGGTTTATAGTTGCCAATGTACTGTATAACTTTATGGTGAACCTCTTCGTTTGTAATGTGGTCTCTGCATGATATACCAAGAATTTTCTGAAACATCGCATTTTTAATGCTTGCATCTTTCTTTCAAGCTCAGCTGTTAAGGTCCACGTTTCACAGCCATAAGGAAATGTACTAATAGCTAGTGCTCTGAGCAATCGAATCTTAGTTTTGCATGAAATGTTTTTAGATCTCCATAATGTTTGCTGCTTAGCAAGGACTAGATTGGTGACATTCTGCCAGCTAGATTAGCAGTCATTACTTCTGTTTTCTGCATTTATTTCCATGCCATACTTGGTTGATGTTTCATCGAGTAAATTTACATGCTCGACTAGTTCTTGTTCTTCCCCAGCCAATCCATCCTTGTCATCTGCAAACCTTAAGTTTGTTATAGTTCCAATTCCGATACTAACTGTTCCATGATGTTGTTCCAGGGCACAGTCATAATTCTTTCTAAAAAGATATTAAACTGTGTTGGAGAGCGGAGGCAGCACTGTCGGACTCCTATTGTTGTTCGGAACCAGCTTTCTATTTGTCCGTTCAGCTTGACAGCACTGTTGGCCTTTGCATAGACTTGTTCATAGTGTCCCAAAGTGCAGCATACCATACTCTCTATCAAAGACTTTTTTGAAATCAAAGAACACATGGTATAGATGTTTTTGGTGCTGGTGGTATTGCTCAGATAATATGTGTAGATTAAATATCTGTTCAACAGTGCTTCTTCCGGCACGGAAGCCTGCCTGTTCTCTGCTATGGTCTTTTCTGCATGTGGTTTTAATCTGTTTAGGAGAGCATGACTTTACTGGGATTACTGATAAGACTTATAGTCCTATAATTTTAACGTCTGCAATTTCCCCGAGAACTTGCTACACTCACACCATTTATCTATTAAATGTCTGCAATTTCCCCGAGAACTTGC